TGTGTGCATTTGTCTGTCACACTGAGCTATACTTGCTCCGCATATCAGCACGTGTTCTCAAACTGCGGTACACATACGTACAAGATTTAATTTTTGTTTAGTATGAAAAATCACCTGAGGCAATCTCATGATTTCTGTCCTCTAGCACTTTTCAGTTAAGCTATTTGCAGGAATCAACAGAAAGCATTTTCATTTTTTATCTGAGAAATAAAGAGGGGGGGGGGGGAGGGGGAAAAAAGATTTCAATAGGAGAGAGCTTAAAAAAACATTGTTTGTTCCAGGAAAATGTTTTTGAAGGATATATGCCTTCTCTGCGGTGCCTCCCTGTCTGTTCTCCTTTTGTGTCTCATCCTGTATGAGAATCTGCTGTAGCAGTTGATGTGGTTGAGGGCTCCGTTTATGACAGGCAGGGTGAGAGTGACTGGGTGCTGCAAGGTCATCATGTTGTTACAGATGTAATGGCAGATCCAGAAAGGCAGAGTAATATAGGTGTTTATATAATTCATTGTGACTTCAGGTTCTGGATGACAGGTGACATTCGTCAGTGTCTGTAACTCTTAAAACTGGACCTGTGTTTCCTGACTTTATCAAGCTAATGGAGCTGCGGGTTTCTGATATACAGATATATATACATATATATATAGATAGATAGATATATCTTTTTCTGTGAGGGAGAAAACGTTAGCCTTGGTTTACGCTCCTTGTTTCAGTTCTATTTGGTTTAAAAATAAATAAACTATAAATAAACCAATCTTCAGAACATGCATGTGTTGTCACTATTGTGATATCAAAGGAAACTGTATCTGTGAAGTGTTTAGTGGTGCTGCAGAGGGAGAGACAGATTTGAAGAAAAAATGACTTTTGGGGGTTGGCTAAAAAAACCCTACTTATTTTCCTGTTAAGCTTAGAGAAAATGATAATTAAGCATAGTAATAGCAATCCTCAAGATAAAGATTCTTGCAGAAAACAGTTTTTAAAATCACTTAATCTGTACTATTACTCTTTCTGTAAAAAAAAAAAAAAAAGAAACAAACAAGTTTAGCTAAAACAGCTAAGCTGGATGGTCAGGTACAAGCATAAAATAGGTGTGTATCCTTATCCATTACTGCTTGTGTGCCAGCAAAGGCAGAAGCGAGCAGGGGACCTGGGGCAGCGCTGGAAGCGTGAGTGGTTACGCTGTGAGATGGATAAGGCCACATGACTGCGATACCCTGTGGGCTGGAAGCAAAGGAGTGTCAGAAACGTGCGTTCACCAGTGGGTTACGATACCATGCAGAGAAGGAACTACCCTGTGCGTGTAATTTGTAACGCAAATATAGACGTGAATATTATCAGCTGTCCCGTATGCCCACGTAGGCGTGCGGGGAGCTGCTGTGTCAGCAGCGCGGTCGCCCTCCCCGGCAGGTCTGGGAGGAGGCAGTGGCGCCTCTCAGAGACAGCCCACACCTGTATCATTAACTATATTACAAATATGTATGAACTCTTACGTGTTGCTTTGAAAGCTTTCTAGCTGCGGAGAATGCAAGTAGCTTCCTTGGGAGATTGACGTGCGGCCTTGATCTTTTGCTTGCAGGCTGGTTCAGATGCAAAGAAAATAGGTCCAAACTTGTAACTGGCAAACTTATAAATTCTGATGTTTAGAATAACCTCAGCCAAAACCTGAGGAAAAAAACAAAACAAAACAACTTTATCTACAGTATTGAAAAATATGTACTAAAAATTATATTTTAATGACAGAATAAATTCTAAATTAGATTTCCATTTTTCATTGTTAGATGACAACGCTGTAGATGTTAACAGTTGTTTGACTTCTCTTGTGGATATAAGCTGTTCTAAGAGGTGTTGCACAGAAAGTGCTTATTTGTACTTAATAACAGTGAAAATATGCCAAATGAGGTGCTTTAAAGGTTGGATTGTAATAAAAGTCTTACTGACGATATATACTAGCACTGGAGAGAGGAAATGGGAGAGAGGTTGGTGTGGGTTAAGGGAGTTAAATATTCTGGGTAATCAGGATCCGATATTTCTTTAGAATTCTTAGATATATAAAGTGTGAGATACAGAAGGGGGGGGGAAAGCTGGGATGACTGAACAATACAAAGAAAGCACCTGTCTTGTCAGCTTTTATGTAGTCATTTAATATATTTAGAATTAACATTTTAACCCAGCCAGACTTTTCCTGTAAGAAAGGGTAGCTCTTGTTACGCTGTTGCATACTATTCCGGGAAGGTTGGCCAAGCAGCTCTGTCTTGGGGGTCTTGCACTCGCTTTGGTGGCTTTTAGAGGGTGGGGGGGGGTAATTTTTTTTGACATATCTCAAAGCACAGTTCCACTTCTGTCTCTGCTGCTGTTTAAGTAGAGGAATGGGATCCCATGCTTTGGTGTATCATTAAGCATCCTGCTAAAAGTTCTATTTTGAAAATACTTAAAACTAGAATTCTATGCCTGCTCTGCTATTTCTGTATTTTTGTGCCAGTCTAGCAATGCTTTTATATGATACCAACATGCTTGTTTCTTCTTACTTGATTCCGTGTGCCCTTTCACAGTAAAATGTCTCATCTTCTAAAGTGACAGCTCAAAGCTCTGGTCAGGGCAGCTACTGCTTTATGTTTTGGTAGAGAAATGAATTCCAGCTTTGAGAGAGGCAGGGCCAGAGGCTAGTTGTGATTTCTAGGTGATACTGTGATCATCCTTCTGCACTGCAACCCACAGAGGGCATTTGCGAATCCCTAAGAAGCACTGAGGATGCTAACCCGAAAAGTAAAAGGTACGTCTGTGGTCTGTTTTATATAAATATATTGCCAGGATAACTTTGGTGCAAAAAAATTCAGAATGTGGGCTTCAAATGGGCGATTATTATGGATCTCTTATCTCAGCAAATTGCAGAATTGTTTCATTTAGGTTAAGTATCTGGGTGTGCATTAAGAAACCCAGAAAATAGGTTCACTTGGAGGGATCTTGTTGCTTTTTCAGTGAGATAATTTGCCAGTGACTTGCATGGTACTGGGGTGGTACTCAGTCTGACTTTTTGTTTCCTAAGCGAGGAAGCCAGAGGCAGTTTGCTTTTTATATCAAGTGATCCAAGTTTTGAACAACTTTTTGATCATTCATTTTGAATGTGTGCATGCCCAAGCTCATAGCTCTATTACAAAAGTGTTTGTTTTTAAATATATAAATACATGTGTACACACACACACTCTCACTCACTCACCTCACCCCCCCCCCCCCCGTGCCCACACCAGTATTTAATTGGTTTTTAATTGTCAGGTGTTGAAGTAGCGATCCATCTCATCCAAAGAGTGTAAGCTGTTTAGTGCCGTGTCCATAATACTATTTTGTGTGTTAAAGCATTTCAAAACATATGCGCATAAAGCTTGCAAGTTACGCAGGCACCAAGCAGTGTCTCTTCCTCTGTATCTGTGCAAAACCTTATAGGTTACTAGGTGCCCCGTTCCCGAATACGGCTCGAGTTATAGCAGAGTGAAGCGACTGAGCTCCTGGATTAGTGTTGCTGAGGCCCTGCTGCAGTAAGTGCGTGTGCAGGAGCCAAGTACGCTTGCTAGAGACAAGGAATAAGCAATTTCATGAAAGGCAGGAAGTTGCTTAGAGTATTGAGCAAGAGAACATCTCTAAATGAAGTGTTAACTTGCAGTTTCCCCCTAATATTGGCATCACTCAGCATTTTTTACCCATCATTTTTACAGCAGGCTTAGACCTTTGCTGTCCCAGTATTCGGCCCGTTCACTCCATTTTGTTTCTTTGCTCAAGTCTTATTATTTTAAATGCTACCGGAAGGGCAAACCACTGAAGAATTAAATGCCTGTCTTTTAAGTCAAATATTTGTGGGTTTTAAAGTGAATTTTTTCTTAGTTTGAAATTTTGGCTATGCTGAAATCAATTTAAAAAAAAAAAAAAAAAAGAAGGTCATGTTACTGTTGAAAAGGTAAAATCTCAACAACGTCTTTCCCTCCCCTGAGCAGGGTCCCTTTACTATCCTTATCGTTCTCCCATTTTCTGATCCCCCCCCCACCTCCCGTTCTCAGGAGTCTGTGTTTGCCCGCCGCCTGCGGAGACCGCAGCAGAACTCTCTTCTCCCAAACCAGGAGCGGTACTTTACAGATTCTGCATAAGGGCCGGGATAAAGTTAGGAGAGGGGAAGCGATGTTTGTGCAGGTAAGATGTAAACCCCAGATGTGGCTTATCTTTTATTCCCCTCCTCGTCCTCCCACCCCCAAACGACATATCTTACCCATGCTTGTTTGAAAGCTTCAGAGCGAGATGTGAAAATCTGAACTACTGTTTGTCTCTGGATATCAGTTTGGTTATTGACTAATTGACAGTAACGGCACGCGTGTGGAGGTTCTTGTTAATATAGTTTTAATTGTCTGCATTCATATAATTATTATTTTGTAGCAGGAATTTCACTTTTCTGTTCATCTAGCTGTAGCAGCTTTACCAGTAAAAGGGCTTTAAGCCATAACTTGGCTACTGTTTTTGTGAGTTAATGGCAACGATTGCTCTTTGCTTTTTTATAGATAAAACAACACTTTGTGATCTATAGCTGTGAAAAATGTCAATTGCCAGAAGGTAAAATGGAAATGACAGTAAAGCATGCATAGCATATTTGCAGTCTATGGCATGCATTATATTTATCTTTTCCAGTATGTGTTTGATAGTGCCACGTGCACCTGGTTCAGAACCGAACAAAGAAAGCTGTTACAATTTGTTCTTGATCTCATGATATCTCACATATTAAGCAGCGTCTTCAACAGAGCTTTTTGACTTTTACAGAAACTGCTAAAATTCATTATATAGTGTTCTTATGATCCAGTTAAAGAATACGTGCATCCTTCAGTTGGAACGTTTCTGTTATATATCCCTATTCTTGAGTATTTTTTGAAGCAATTAGTATCTTTCTAATTTCTTTTCAAGATTATTAACTCTTGATCGCCTGTGTATTCCAGTATGTATTTGGTTTTTGTGAAGCTTTAAAGGTAACTCTCAAGTAGTTTTTTCCCCTTGTCTTTTCCATATTGCTATCTACAAGTCGTTTCCATGCAATATTCTAGAGATTGAAGTAGCGTCAAGAGTTAGGGTAACTAATGGGTAAAAGAAGATAGAAATCTTTACTAGGAAGAGGTGACTGGCCTAAGGTGAGCAGGAAACTACATTTTGGCAAAGAGGTTTTCTGTGTTATCATATAATTTGTGTATATGTAATTTTAGAAGAAAAATGGGTAGGGCTGATGTCACGTGAGAGCTGCCAGTTCATGCCTAGCTTTTCTTCACGGACTGAATCAGCCCGGGATGGGATGGCCCCCTGAGTTGTAGCTCTGGCTGAACAGCTCCAGATACCGACTTCTGCTCTTGATCCGCCTGGCGCTTACGCAGCGTGAGCGCGGAGCGATGACCGTGTCGCAGCGGTTCTCGTGCCGTTGTTCATCGTCCTTGATGCATCGAGGTTGAGCGTGTCTCCTCCTCCGCGCTGCGCCTGGTACAGGCGGTACTGGCGGGTGTTTCCCCGCGGGGTGGCTGCGCGGCGGCCCCGGGGCGGGGGGGCGG